AGAAAGTTTATCCCAGAAGTCTTGCTGGAATAAAATGAAATGTTGGAGTAGAGTCAATCTTACACTGTTATCTTCCTTTGTTATAAAATGATACACAATGATGAAATCCAGTTGTGTGTTAGCCGGTGAACTATGGCAGTATTTCATGCCAACCAACACCTTGACGTTTTAGTGGCTTGCAAGCCTGAGCAGAGTATGGTAATTTTATGCTAACTAATGTTTATTACAACTAAAAGCAGAAGCAAGTAGTGAAGGACTTAAACCCAGAGAATGTTTGAGTGCACTTCTGAAAATAATTACTATAACAATCTGGCTCCATTGCAAGCAAACAACTTGTAGAACTGATTTGGCATCAGTTCTACAATAAGTTAACATTTCAATTTATTCACAATCTCCTCAACTACACTATTCTAAAATATCTTCACTACCTGTCTTCTTTTACATCTTGAAGTTTTATCTGCCCACTATTATAAGTCACACTTCCTCTGAAATTCATGACTGAATTTGAATTGTTGTAAGCAGTGTTAAGAAGTAAAAAATCTAGGTGTGTTTTACAAATAAACTAAGAATGGTTCCTCTTCAAGTGTTTCTGCATATTCCCAATTATGGGTGCTGTGCCACCTTGTACTGCCTTACAGTAAAAACCTCTTTTAGCAGTGACAGCCAAAGCACTACTATGCCCTCCCACTGTTGAGCATCATGACACACTGAGGGCGAGGCTACAAAGGGGGTGGAACTCCCTCACTACCCCAGTTTCTTCCATCTGCGTGCCTGGGCAGATGTGAACTGCTCTGGTTTCTTTGTAGTCTCTTTTCTACTTAGCAATAGTGTTAGCTCATTTTCAGTATAGTTAGTTCATGAATTCAGATTTCTCCTGGCTTCGGGTTATGGAGGAACTGAGAAAACAGAAGAAGCTAGATTCAAGAAGTGCGCTTCCTACCTGGCTGTCCTTCTTGCATCTGACAACCCTATGTGGTGCCTCAAGTGCCTGGGAGAAAGATGCTCACCTTCTGGGTGTTCTATTTGCCGAACTTTCACACCCAGGATAGGGAGATTCACCTCCTAAAAGAAGCCCTCATAGCTAGACCCATCTAGACCTGGTCAGGACTCAGATGCTAGGTGTAAGAGACCAGTCTCTCTGCCGCTGTGGCTGCCAATGGCTCCAAACAACTGAAGGGTTCCAAGAAGCCACTACACCTGTTGATGTTGGACTTGGTTCCTGCGACTCACTCAGTCAATACCCTGAGGCTCCAGATGTTTAAATGGAGGCCCATGTGGTCAGATCTGACTGCTTCATTTCTGGAAGAGAGGTTGAGAGATAGTTCAGCACTGATGCCGTACGTTGTTCCTCTCACCTATTCAACCCACATGGAATCCCTGCAGCTGCAGGACCATTACCAATTCTGACTTCCATTTCCAGTGCCAGGAAGATATAATTGCTCAGTGGGTCAGAATCTGGGCTGTCAATGCCTTCAGTTCCTTTTGTCATAGCATAGAAGAAAAGGAGGCTTAGAGCCAAAATGCCAATATTAGTAGTGCCATTTTCCATGCATCAGACCTGTCAGATCCATCTGATTCTGACAAAACTGCTACAGCCTCTCTCTGTTCCAGAGCAAGCAGAGACTGACAATCCCTGTGAGATGCCTTCCTTTTGCATTGGAGGAAGGGCTTGATGTATTTGTTTCCTTTCTTCCCATTGATTTAAAGATGGTAAGGAAGATATATCAGGACAGGGCAAGAATGATGCTCATTGCCCCGACTTGGCCGTATCAGCAGTAGTCATTACCAGTCTCCTTCAGCTGTCCAGCAGAGTCTTCACATATCTTCCCCTGCCCTCAGCTCTCCTGTCCAAGCCAGGAGGGCAGGATCTTTCATATGGACCTGCAGTCTTCACCTGACGACATGAGTGATTGGACTTGAGCAGTCTGCTCTTGAGCAGTCATGTTCTTCATCTGTGCAGGATGAACTAATTAACTTACAAAAGCAATCTACTAGAATCTGTTACCATCTAAAGTGGTCCGGATTTCAAACTTGGATGAAGGGACAATCTGGCTCTCCTGTATCTGCTTCCATTTCTTGTGTTTTCAAATACCTAATATACTTAAAGCATGAGGAGGAGGGGGCTCAGACACAGACCAATGGATACTACTAGCAAGAATCTTCAGCTTTCTGGCACATGGAGCACATGGACCCCCAGTGGACTACAGATAGGGGGCATGCATTTTGAAGAATTCCAGTTACTAGAAGAGACGTAACCTTTCTTTTTTAAATACTTTCCCAGAGTTCTTAGTATAAGGATAAATGACTGACTTGGTAATTTAGCAGTAATAACATTCACTGATGTGGCAATTCAGAGTTCTTCTAGTCCCATACTGGGATGCTGCAAACTTGTGGAGAAGAGAGACCTCTTTACTGTCCAGTGGCACCATTTGTTGGACAGATGAAGCAATGCCTTATGGAGAGAGCAGAATCTAGCTTCTCTCAGAAACAAGGTCCGCATGAATGGTGTAAAGATCTTCAAAGGTGATAGCCGGAGAATAAAAAAGGATATAGATTCAGTGTACTGTCTCTGTAGATATTTTGGTATAATAAAGAGATTTATTTAGCTTTAACTGATATAAAGCAAAGGTGCAGAAGGAGAATTCCCTCTGTTGCAGAGTCTCAGAGATTCCCTTAATCACATTGTCCAGAGCTGTAGAACGGATGGCTGGAGGAATCTGGTTGGACAGAGAGGCTGGTGCCAGTCTTTATTTATGTTAATTTAGTTTCCTTTTCGTTCCCTTCAGAAGATGTAGTTCTTATTCTGAACTAATGGATATAATGGCTAAGATTCTGGGCATGCCGTAAATAGCTGTGGAGGAGACTTCACACCCAGTGTTTGATATTTTGGGTTAATTCTCAAGAAGCAGAATTATTTAACCTTTTTTGGATGGACTGTCTCAACCTGCTAAATCAGCTAAACCAATGGCTGGGGAAGCTGATAACCCTCTTGGGAGGAGCTGGTAAAGTTTTCCTGTGATCCATATGCATCCACCTGTGATTTCTCTGGTGCTGGAGACCACAGGTCAATGCTCTGAGGGAGGTATAGTGCATTAAACTTCTTCTGATAGGGAGGGAAAGAGGATGGATGCATTAGGAAGAAAATATTTTTCATCTGCCACCTTTGGAATGAGAATCATGAAATATCAGGAAGTTATGGCATGATACTGCCATCACCTATGGAATCAGTTATCATTGTTTATTAATAGTATTATGGATGACCAGAATAATTCTATTCAAAGTACTTTCTAATGTAAACAAAAAACAAAAACAAAAAAATGATGGGGATTCCATCCAATATTGGATCAGAGGAAACTGAATTTCTCCATAAAGAGGTTCCACTTCCACTTGCTGTCTCTAGAATCTGTAATTCCTTCTCTTACCCAACAGGACTGGTTTGCAGCTGTTGATTTAAATAATGTTTATTTTCACATATCCACAAGACTGTCTCACTGCAAATATCTCCATTTCGTCATAGGAAAAGATAATTTTCAATACAAGTTCCGCCCCTTTGGCCTATCTATGGCCCTAAGTGTTTTTTTTTAAATGCCTGTCGGTGGTGGTTGTTGCCCACCTACCAGAGACAGGGTATTTTCATCTCCCCTTATTTAGATGATTGGTTTATCAAAGTTCCATCAAAGAAAGCCCTCTCTATAGTGATCTCCCAGATCTGTATGCTTTTCAACAACTTAAGGCTCAGAATAAACTGGGAAAAATCATTACTAATACCCACTCAATGGATCCTTTTACAGGCGCCATGTTGGACTTAACGGTGGAGACAGATGCTTAAAGAAAAAATCAGCCATAAACCTTCTACATCAATTTCCAGAACAAATTATTTCTTTTTTTGTGTGGTTAATGGGTCTCATGGCTTCAGCAATGAATGTAACTCCCTATGCTCATCTACAAATGAGGCATTTGCAATATTGAAATTCAGCCCCAGCGTCATCAGTACACATAGGCTTCTGATTGTTCCAAGAAGGATATATCTATCCATATTATGGTGGACCCATTAAAACTTTTAAGCCTCATGAATATATAGCCCAACTAACCTAACAATTGTTTGTGTAGGCCTTTTTTTATTGCCTGAATAAGGCCAACCAAATTAGCAGAATGACTGAAATTGTTAGTCCCATCTAAAACTAAGGTATGCAGTTTTGACTCACATGGGTCACTACAGGGCCCAGGAAAAGTACAGGTAAACTTATTGATTGATTAATATGAAATTAAGTTACTATTTCAGGCTACTTGGTTTGTCCTTGTCTACACTTGGAGTTAAACTGTGTTCAGAACTGATTCAGCTGCAACGGGTCTCTTTTAATGTAGACAACATTTTTAACAGAATTTTAAGGTATAGCTTTCATAATTTTATGTATATGATTATATAATTCATCTACAGTCCTGCAGAATTTTCTTGATTTTGGAGATTAATCATAAAAGGGGGTTCTCATGATAAAACTGTTTGCCACCAAGGACATTAAGCGTTCCAGAAGGGGCAAGAGCCTAGTTCTCCTTGGCCGATGCCTGCCTTCTGCAGTGGTATCCAGCTCCCCTTTCCACCAGTTCAACTGATCCACAAAATCAAGACACAGCTGTGAGATATATACGGTATATAGCCTTTCACCTGTGACACATGCATTGCAAGCATGCGTTTATGAGGAAAAAGTTCAGTTTCATACTCTTTGCTTAAGAAAATCTCTCAATAATGTCATTAGATTGAAAGAAATTACCAAAAGACAATGGAATTGGGTCTCACATTAAGGCCTGGAATATAATATGTTGCAAGATAGTTTGAGGCCATATTTTTAAGTGATGCCTCTTCAGTGTTAAGTGCATGTGACTACAGTTTACATAATGCTAAAATTGGTTTACTTTTGCTTAAGACCATGATTAGTGTTGATTTATGTCCATTTACTTTTAAATTGTTTTATAGAACATAATTTTGTTTCTAATTTTCATAGATCATAAGCACACCACAAAGACTGACCAATTCAGGGAGTGTTCTGATTGGGAGTCCATACACCCCAGCACCAGCAATGGTCACTCAGACGCACATAACAGAAGCCACTGGCTGGATTCCAGGGTAAGAATTTGTTTTGTTTAAAGAGAAGTGCCGGACACTGGGGCAAATCTGTTTTGATTTTTCTTCTGTATACTCTTGCATGTGTATCTTGGCTCAAACATCCTAGTTCCTACACAGTTCAAAGGGTGTGAGCGGTTAAGCATATTTTGTACTTTTAATGTCTGTAATACGTACGCGTGTAACTACATGTACCAGTGATTTCAGTCCAGGTTCATTTTACTACCTAATTTGTATATGGGTTTGTGGTGACGCTTATTTTCCGGTAGTAATGGAAAGGACTGAATGTATTTGCGCAATTAAAACAAGTCCTTACTCTTCATAGATCCATACAAATTTACAGTATCCTTACTGTAGAGGATTATTGGTGTTTGCCAACAGGAGAAGGGTGTGTCAAACATGCCTTAGCAGGCATTTTTAAAAAACAGGCCATAAAACTAGTGACAAACTCTAAATGTTGTTGATGGATGTATTTTCATATTACTGATTTACAGTGTTGCAATCTATTGTTCTCACAGAGATCTCTGAAGAGCAAGGTGCTTTGAGTTTTGAGCTTTAAAATCTTTCAGGACCCCTTTATTTTTTTGATTTCAGCATTCCTGCACCTTAAGATATCATGGACAGATTTAGTACAATGCTTTTGAAGATAACTTTTCATTTTCAAGTAAGACTTTTAGGACAAGTATATCCAGTAGCCTAACATCAACATATCCTTCCCTGCAAATACTATTACTCATTTAAAATAGGCTTATGTATCTTTTGAATGCTGTAAGTGCTGAGATACCATGGTGATGGATGACATTATAAAAACCTAGACAGACAGAAAAGGCACAGTCTGTGTAAGTGGCCGGACCATGCTACATTAACTATTAGTGTTATTAATCTCTCAGTAATATTTTGCTGTTCCATCCAGGATTCTCAGATCAATTTTCAGACACTAATTAAGTAATCCTCAGTTCTTCTTTGAGTGATTGCTCATGTGTATTCCACAATAGGTGTGCATGCTTGCCACGTGCACCAGTGCCGGAAGTTTTTCCCCTAGCAGTATCCGGAGGGGAGAGCCCCAGCGACCCCTGGAGAGGCGCCTCCATGATGCGGTATAAGGGGCTCTGCGTGCTCCCACCACCCTCAGTTCCTTCTTGCCGCCAGTAAAGGTGCCTTGGAACTGCACCTTCCAGCTTTGCTGTAGCTCATCCCCGAAACTGCTTGTTCGTTCAGTGTATGGTACCTGTGGTTAGTTAGTTTAGTTTAGTTAGAGTGCCTGGGCTGGGGCATGTCCCGCGTCCCAGGTTTTAAGTCGTGCGATACTTATAGGCAATCTGTGCCACTGCTGGTCCGCACTCTGTCTGCACTGTTTGGGGGAAAACCCATCTCAGAGATCGCTGCAAGATTTGCAAGTCATTTAAGCCTCGGAGAGAGAGAGAAAGGGACATTAGGGTCCAGGCTATTCTGATGGAGTTGGCGCTGACCCCAGCTCTGGTGCGCCACTCCGAGGTGGCACCGGGCACCACGGTGTCGGTGTGCAGCAACCCTTCGGCACCATCGACCAGTCGGCACCGCCCCCCGTCCACAGGGCACGCCAAGAAGGCTAGAAAGAGGCCTTCTTCACTGCGGCACCAGAGTAAACCCGGGACAGAGGCTAGACCCATGTCGGGCAGTCCTCGATCTCCACCGGCCTCTAGGCCTCTGACTCAGGTCAAGTGGAGCAGCCCAGCCCATTCAAAACAGGCCTCCCCGGATCTCCAGATGCCCTCCACACTGGAGGCCCTGCAGGCTGCCCGGGATGTTATGTCCATGCTGGTACCAGGAACACCACCGATGTCAGCCCCACGCTCCAGAGGCAAACCACCGCTGGGATCTCTGCAGTCACTCCCGGCTCGGTACTGGTCTCGGTCAAGGGAACGTTCCCGATGCTGTTCACCGCCCAGCGACTGTTCAGGGCAAAGTCCACATGGATTGCCCTCAATGCCCACCAGACTGTCTGTCTGGTTGGGTTCCGTCCAACTGAGACTCTCGGCACCGCTCCGCCTCGAGGAGCGAGCACCAACGGGACCGAGGCAGACGTCACCAAAGGTCCTCGTCTTGGAGGGCAACCAGTTACGGCATGGACGTCGACGTTGTTCCCTTTCAGCGTCCCACTCCAGGACCCCACCACAGCACGGCCTCCGCAGCCCCGGGCAACGATCACCAGTGTCCTGCCGTTGCGTGTCCGCCTGTCGGAGCCGATCACAGAACAGCTGTTACCGACGGTACCTGTCCTCCACGTCGGGATCGCGGTCCTGTGGTCAGCATCGCTCCAGGCACCGCCACTCCTCCTCCGGGGACAGTGGCAGGTCGTATGTCAGCCTGGCCTCCCTTCGTAGTCGTCCATCGATGGGCCAAGCCAGCCAGGCCAAACAACCGGCTCCGCTGGTGCCACAGCAGGTGCAGTGGCCCCGCCTCCCTCTGTCCCGCAGGAAGACTTTAGGGCCCTCCAAGAACTCTTAGAAAGGGTGGGATCAAGCCTCCACCTCCAAGCAGAGGAGATGGAGGAGCCCTCGGACTCCCTGTTTAATGTACTGTCCTCCTTGGCACCGGGCAGGGTGGCCTTGCCTCTCCATGACGGGGTGGCAAAAATTTCAAATGCCCTGTGGCAAACACCAGCCTCATTGGCCCCCATCTCTAAGAGAGCAGAATGCAAGTATTTTGTCCCTGCCAAGGGACACAAGTACTTATACACCCACCCTGCTCCTACCTCCCTGTTGGTCAAGTTGGTCAACCACAGGGAGCAGCAGGGCTAGCCAGCCGCTACACCAAAAAATAAAAATTCACGGAGGCTGGACTCTTTTGGAAGGAAACTTTATTCGTCCTCGAGCTTCCAGTTATGGGTGGCAAACCGCCAGGCTCTCTTGGGCTGGTATAAGTTCAATCTGTGGGGCTCTCTGCCCAAGTTTGAGGACTCCCTCCAGGAGCACAACAAGAAGGAGTTTAAAGCGCTGGTGGAGGAGGGTGCAGCAGCTGCCATGGCAATCCTGCAGGCAGCTGCCATGGCAATCCTGCAGACACTCGCCTCCGCGGTGTCCATGAGAAGGGCTTCGTGGCTCCTGCTCTCTGGGCTGTCCAGTGAGGCGCAGACCTCCCTGCAGGACCTCCCATATGACGGCAAAGCTTTGTTTGCGGAACAAATGGATACAAAGCTGCATGCCCTGAAAGACTCCCACATGATTTTCTAGACTCTGGGTCTCTACGTTCCGGCTCCGGCTAAACCGAAGTTCAAGCTGCAGCAGACTCCCACTCAGGCCACCCACCCAAAATACGAGGCCGCTTATAAGAAGTCGCATGACTATAAGAGGCGATCACAGAGGCAGTCTCAGCCTGTTCCCCAACCTGGGTCCTCCAAGAGCAAGCAGGCGGGGAAAAAGCGGTTTTGACAGGATGCCCGGGGGCGCCCTGCCAGTTCTCGTCAGGGATCCACCCTCAATAAAACTTCCCTTCTCCAATCGGTTGAGTGCTTTCCTCCTGGAGTGGTCGCGGCTGACCTCGGACCGATGGGTCCTCAACACCATCTCCCGGGGTTACACCCTCCAGTTTACTTCCTTCCCGCCCAACCACCCGCCGCCCCCGTCCCTCCTGGGGGACTCCTCGCACAAGGCTCTGCTTCCTCGCAGAAGGCGGGGTGGCTCCTGGGCCTAGGAGCGGTGGAAGCGGTACCCAGGGAGTTCAAAGGCAAGGGGTACTACTCCCGCTATTTCCTTATCCCGAAGGCCAAAAGGGGGCTCAGGCCCATCTTGAACCTGCGAGGCCTGAACCAGTACATGATGAAGCTCAAGTTCCGCATAGTCTCCCTGGCCTCCATCATCCCCTCTCTGGATCCCGGGGACTGGTACACCGCACTCGATCTGCAGGATGCGTACTTCCACATTCATATATTCGAGGGGCACAGATGCTTCCTCTGTTTTGTGGTGGGGCAGGAACACTATCAATTTACAGTCCTCCCGTTTGGCCTGTCCACTGCCCCCAGGGTATTCACAAAATGTATGTCGGTGGTAGCGGCCTACCTCAGGACCGGGGGTCCAGAGCTTCCCCTATCTGGACGACTTGTTGGTCAAGGGCAGCTCCCAATCGCAAGTGCGGGATCACGTGGCACTCCTGTCCATGTGGGGAACATTCAGACCCAAGGTCTGTGGTCAGCTCGGGATCTGACCCGCCACATAAACGTCAAGGAGCTCAGGACGGTACGGCTGGCGTGCATGGCCTTCCGCTTGCACCTGGAGGGCCAGGTCGTCAGGGTCTTCAAGGACAACACGGCCTCGATGTTCTACATCAACAGGCAAGGTGGGGCCCAATCCTCTGCCGTGAAGCCCTCAGGCTGTGGGATTTTTGTATAGCCCACAACATTTGACTACAGGCCTTCCATCTGCCGGGCGCCCGGAACACGCAGGCAGATCTCTTGAGCAGGGACTTTTCCTCTCAGCACGAGTGGTCTCTCCACCCAGAGGTGGTGCACAGACTTTTCCAAATGTGGGGAACTCCCCAGGTGGACCTGTTCGCGACTCGACAGAACCATCACTGTCCCTGGTTCTGCTCCATGGGGAGGGGGACTGGGACGGGGCGCTATCTCCGATGCCTTCCTCCTGTCCTGGTGAGGTCAGTTTCTCTATGCCTTTCCCCCATTCCCGCTGATTGGCAAGGTCCTGGAAAAGATAAAGACGCACAAGACCCAGGTCCTTCTGATTGCCCCGGCATGGCCCAGGCAGCATTGGTACGGGACCCTCATGGGCCTGGCGGTCGCCATAGCCGTTGCCGTCCCACCCAGACCTCCTCTCCCAGGACCAGGGCCATTGCCTCTGTCCCAACCTAGCGGCATCCCACCTCATGGTGTGGCTGCTCAATGGTTAGGTAGGGAAGAAAGGACATGCTCAGAAGGGGTTCAGCGCGTCCTCCTAGAAAGCAGGTGGCCCTCCATGCGCTCAGCCTACTTGGCAAAGTGGTCTCGATTTTCCAAATGGGCGGACGAGAGGGGC